ACTGGACATCTCAGGAGCATTCGATGTCTTATGGTGGCCAAGCCTGCTCTCCCAATTGAAAGAAAGAAATTGCCCGAGGAACATCTACAAGCTCCTCCAGAGTTACTTCAGTGACCGAGAAGTGGGCATATATGCTCACTTTGAAGAAACACTGAAAACAGTAACGAAGGGATGCCCTCAGGGTTCAGTATTTGGACCGGTAGGTTGGAACGTCATCTTTGACAAACCACTCCGGGCAATCAGAGACGCAGGATACGAAGTACTAGCCTACGCAGAGACACGCATTGATTTTGAAAGACAAGCCCAAGAAATCATTAATATAATGACCGACTGGTGCAAGTCTGACAAAATGAAATTAGCAGTAGAAAAGTCAGCACTAATATAGCTAAAAGGCCAACTAAGCGAGAATAGGAACCCTACAGTCAAAATTGGGAAAGACAACATTAGAACGCACAAAACAGTCAAGTACCTAGGAATCACGATCTCGAAGGGCTTCCAATTGGAAGAACATATTAGAAACGTGGTTCAAGACTATAATAACACCTATTTCGAGCTCAGTAAAGTTGCAAAAGCGAACTGGGGCCTAAAATTCAACTCCATGAAAAAGATATATAATGGCTTTCTACTATCGAAAATTATATATGCCGCTGCGGGCTGGATGGCAAAGGACCAACATCGAACAGCAATTTGCGTTAGAAAGATTGCAGCGATCCGTTCTTTGCAAGACACTCAAAGCCTACAAATCGATCTCTCATGAAGCGGCGCAGGTGCTTGCAGCCTCCCGACCAATAGCTCTAGAGCTTGACGCGAGAGTTGCAAAGTACTGCGTCAGGAAAGGGCAATCGATTAAAATGCACGGCATCCGAATTAAATCGGAGGAACTTCGATCGGACAGACTAAAAATCTCGAAAGCCATACAACTCATCAACGATTAAATCGAAAGGGTATAGCAGGAGAGATGGCAGTCAGCCACAAATAGCAGGAGAACGTACTGCTACTTCCTAGTAATCAAGGACAGATTAAAGAAGAGGTGGCTAAATCCCAATCACTACACAGTCCAGTTTATGACTGGACATGGCGCTTTTAAGTCATACCTCCACAAGAGAGGATTATGCGAAGACCAACTGTGTAGCTGTGGAGAAATAGAAAGCGAAAGTCATATTCTCTTTAACTGCGAAGATATAAGGGAACTAAGGAAGCCATTGATAGAGGCCGTCGAAGAGGAGGGTCATACATGGCCTTGCCCGGAAACGGCCCTAGTATCCAGCAGGAAAATCTACAAAGTCTTTGAAGACTTTGCTAGAAAAGTCATAGAGCCCAGAGAGGGAGCACCTATAACAAAGAGAAAGCGCAGAAAAATAGTCACGAACTATGGTAGAAAGACGCCGCCTCTTACAAGGTCCCTAACCAAAGGACAAAAACTCTCACAATAACCTAATTTTTGAACCCAGACAAGCTTATAAAGCTTGAAATTTTTGAACGATAATTTTTGAACATCAACTTCAGAACTAAATTCTGAAGCTCGAATACTTGAACGCGAATTACCCCATTCAGCCCAACGACGGAGTTTTGAACCGAATGCGTGGCATGACCGGCTAGAATACTGAAAACTGCCTGGGGAGTCGCCTTGTCGGCTAGACGAGACCCCGCCCTGACATAACAGTCAAAAACTAAATCGAAAGAGCAAATATCAGTATCAGCCAAGTCATAAAAACCATTCTTTAGAAAGCGAGATCTGACTTTGGGACAAAACGGGGTAACAACAACCTTTCGAATAACGGATACCCACCAGCGTGAGCGGGGATAACCGAAACGCAATGGGAAGACGTGCCTCGGTACGTCGAAGCGATGGACCTGTGAGTCGTGGGAGAAATCCCTTAATACAGGTACGCAGGGTAGGATGTTTTTTGAACGCGAGCCCAGGAGGGGAGGCTTAGTTGGTTGATCGTCTTAGGAATTTTCCTCTGGCTGTCCTGGCTGAGTCTCTCTTCTGACATCCCAACTTGGGTTGGCCTCTGCGGGGTAATGGTACCAGGTCAAGTAAATCTCGTAAGATTTGTATGCTGCGTGCTTCCGACGCAGTAGACGTTGGGGCAACTAGAGTCCCGTCGCGCCCAAACCGATGGTCAAGCCTTTAGTTCCGCTCTCCTTGAGCGTCGAACCGTGAAAAGATCAGTACTCCTTTCGAGGAGGTCGCCACCTTAGATTAAAAAGGTTCCGTCTCGCTGTGTGCGTCAGGGATGTCGCAGCAAACTTGACTCCGGATCTCCAATAATGTTTGAAAGCGAAGGAGTGAAAGACAGTGGGCTATGCCAACCTATTGGCGCCCAGAGAGAGGGGTGGTAATGTTTGATTACGCTGCGCCACCCTCAAAGCGGAAAAGTGTGAACGACACATATACACTAACTATATTGCTACGCTCTTAGCTGTGAGTTCGCTCCACGGCTTTATCTTTAATTCATCGATTAATTTAAGATTGGTCCGTGAATTCATCAATTGTCACTTGCTCCTGCTTTATTGCTTGTCGTGACTATACATTGAAATTAGCGAATTACCTTTTTTCTTTTTATTGTTACTTTTCCGTTTTGTTTGCCGACCGCAACCGAACGCTGTAAGAAACTTACGAATTGCGTGTGTGATTTATTATCACTTTCTATTGTAATTTTTCTTTTATAACTATTTCCTTTATAATTGTGCTACGTATCTTTTAAATTTATTATTGGGTTTATATTCGTTTTGCTGCTAAGATCTTATATTTTGAATTTTGATAATAAATAACGTCTAAATATTTTTCTTAATTTTCACGCGCAGTCATTAACATATTCTGCCTGCGCGTTTATAGCCGCTATTCTATGAATAGGAATCCGCTGCCTATCCTGGAAAATAATTTAGTGTAGAGTGTCGTCTAAGTAAGGAGAGACATTGCTCCACGACACTTTCGAATTTTTATAATTAATAGTTATCAATGTCTGGCGCTCTATAATACGAGGGTTGTTTGAAAAGTCCGTGCAAAAATAAAAATTGCTTGATTTTTTTTAATAAATCTTTTTTATTTTTCAACATAGTCTCCTTTTAGGCTTGTACACTTTATCCAACACTGCTTTAGTTTGTTAATCCCTTCCAAATAATAGGATGTGTCCAAGTCTGTAAAATAGGCATTCGTTTCTACAATCACCTCCTCGTTTGAATAAAATCTTTTCCCCGCGAGCCATTTTTTCATATTAGGGAACAAATAGTAGTCCGACGGAACTAAGTCTGGAGAATAGGGGGGATGTGAAATAAGTTGGAACCCTATCTCCATCAGTTTTGCGGCCACAACTGCTGAGGCGTGAGCTGGCGCATTGTCGTGGTGGAAGAGGAATTTTTTGTGGGCCAATCATGGACGTTTCTCTAGCAACTCGGTTTTTAAACGATCCAATAACGATGAATAATATTCACCTGTAATGGTTTTACTCTTTTCCAGATAGTCGATGAAGATTATTCCTTGCGAATTCCAAAAGACAGTCGCCATAACCTTCCCGGTCGAAGGAATTGTCTTCGCCTTTTTTGGAGCAGATTCCCCCTTGGTAACCCATTGTTTAGACTATTCTTTGCTCTCAGGAGTGTAGTTGTGTATCCATGTTTCATCTACAGTGATGAAACGACGCTTAAAGTCTTGTGGATTTTGCTGGAACAGTTGCAAACCATTCTTGTAACACTTCACACGATCTCGTTTTTGGTCAATCGTGAGCAATCGCGGCACCCATCTAGCGGATAGCTTTTTCATATCCAAATGTTGGTGCAAAATATTATGTATCCGTTCGCTCGAGATGCCTAGAGTATTAGCAATCTCACGCACCTTTACTCTTCTGTCAGCCATCACCATATCATGGATTTTATCAATGATTTCTGAAGTGGTAACCTCAACAGGGCTTCCAGAACGTTCAGCGTCTTTTGTGCCCATATGGCCACTCCAAAAATGTTGAAACCACTTATAAGCCATTCTAATCGAAGGTGCACAATCACCATAATTTTTATCAAGCTTCTGTTTAATCTCCTGAGGCATTTTGCTTTTCAAATGTAATGTTTAATCAATACACGGAATTCTTTTTCGTCCATTTTTTTACAACCATTCGATTTCTTTGATTGAAACGAATGTAAAACGCAAAGTAATTGGCCGATCTGACTGAAACTTGGTGTATGATCTTCCAAGATATGCCAGTAACTGAAAATAACCTTGATACGCACTAGTAGCCCCATCACTCTGACTTTGCACGGACTTTTCAAACGACCCTCGTAATTTTATTTATCGCTTTGTACGTTGCTGTGGACTGAAACACAACGTTACAGCTCTCATGTGCCAAAGAAAAAATAAGACTACTTTAAAAAATAATTCTACTTTCGACTATGCATAACGATGATGCTGTAAACGATGATTAAAAAAACTGCATATGATTTACAACTATATTAAATATAAAACTATGGTCGTCAAATGGATCAATTGGTTAGTTGAAACACTACACACGGACGAACTCACAGGTGGCCTTCGGCTATGTTTTTCAATATTTTGGACGTTGCTACTCTTGTAGATTATGTAATCTATTAGGAAATAAATAATATGAAATAATAATATTTTAGTAGATTGTAATTTATGTGTTTCTCACGGACTTGTTATCCGTGAAATTTTAGTGCAAAGCTTTCTATTTTCAGCTAAAAAAATAAACCCATAGAATGTTTTTCGTAGCGTAGCTTTGTTTTCGTGAGTGTAGTTGGCCTTTGCTCTAAAATATTACATTATATTTTGTTCTTAGCAAATAACATCACTCTACTCAAAATCTATGGTGTGTACACATGTGTACAATTGAATTTAGCCTTGTAATGTATTTCAATATAAAAGTGACACGAATTTGTATTTTCATATAAATATGAATAAATTACATAACTTATATGGCATTTCACAAGTATTTCAATCAAATGTGGACTAGTATTTTTAACAAATGGAATAAGTAATGTATATTCACCTCTTTCTCTTCATCAAATTCCTCTTCATCATCTGAACCATGAACAGATGTAGCTGGAGTAGTATGCCGTGATGATGATGGCGATGATGGCTCGCTTATAGGCCTCGGATAGTTTAAGCATTTTATATGACTTTCTGACAATTCGCATGATAGATCAGGATAAACTTTCATGAGAGCCTTCAAACGCGCATGTTGATAATACTGGAAAGGTGGAAACTGTTGACTTTACATGCATATAATAAAATAAAGTATATGCATGATCAAATTAAGTAATTTATAATAAAATAAAGTAATTTATAATAAAATAAAGTAATTTATAATAAAATAAAGTAATCTATAATAAAAATGTAATTTATATTGCATCTATGATTGGTGTGAACATAAAAATGCTTACAATTTGAAATATCAAATATATTACACAATGCAATTAGCAGTACTTAAATATAAGCATGTGCTATGCTGTGAGTAATATTTAACGCTATCGTTTTAGTAATAAAATACTAATTTTTCAAGTGATCTCTAAGATTTAGTTAAATTATACTATAGTAAATAATGTGCAGATAAACTACCAACCAATTACAGAAATTTACAAGATTATATCACCAGAATACTAGCAACATATTCGGAAGTTTATCGATACTTTAAATCCAAATCAGATCCAAGAATTACACTATCATGTCAGATTTCTGCGATATTATAATTTAAAAATGTAAAAAACACTGTTTTTTTCTTATTTTTAAGGTTGCATAATATCGCAAATAATTGTTTTCAAAAATGGATCAAAATACCTGAAAATAGCACTATTGCTCTTTAAAATACTTTTTTTAAATCAAAAATATCATTTTTTGAGATATTGTTAATTAAAGTCGGATGTTTAAATAACTTCTTTATAACTTTACAATACGGTCTGTCTATAAAATGAACTGTTATAACATATTTCTCTGGACATCCATAGACTTTTACACTTCAATTTCTTTAACTATCAATTCCGAACCATCGCCACTCATTCCTTCTTTCTTAAAAGCTTGATTCCGAATTCTCATCAATCGTTAAACCGACACCCGTTTCTCTTAACCCGTTAACGTCCACAGGACACATTTTTTAAGTTTGAGTTTGAATTGTTACCTCGCAATGAATTCGAACTCAAATAACTTAAAACTAACCGTACCCTATGTTTTCGAGGGTGCTCTTTCGAATGGTGATTATCAGAAGTCGAAAAAAAGATTTCTAACCTCTAAAAAATCAAAATTAAAATAAAAAACGTGATTTTGAAAAAAAAAATTTTTTTTTAAACTGATTTTCTGGAGCCTATACATTTTTGTATCGGTCTAAAACCGGTTAGAAAGGTGTCCTCGATATCTGAACTAAATGTTAGGATAATGACATTTATTTGAATAATTTTTCATCTAAGCAAAATGGCGGCCGAAATAAAAAAATTTTGTTCTAAACTTGATAAATTTTTTTCTCAGAAAGTATAGGTGTTAGCAAAAAATTTATAAGAATAAAAATATCTTAAAATCGGCTAAGAAATACTCTTAAATTTTTTCAAAACGTTTTGAAACAATTTTTGATTTTTGAAAAATTCAAAAAAATGAAATTTCAAAAAAGTTGAAAAAACATTTTGAAAAAATTCAAGAGCATTCCCTGATTAATTCTAAGATATTTTTGTTCTAATAAATTTTTAGTTAAACTGCATAGTTTTGAAGAAAAAATTACGTGAATTTGTAAAAAAGCACTTCTTATTTGTATAGTTGGATACAATTTAATCTTCATGCATTTCAAATCAGTTTTTTAAATTATTATTTTGATAATTAACTGTCAACGTATTGTCAGCTTCACATAATATTATACTACTTTCAGAAAATATATAAAAGAATCTTTGTATAAAATGTAAAAATATGTTATCTTTACACTAAGTAGTTTGATGATTACTAAAGCTCTAAAAATTTTTTTTATTTCTTCATTGAGTTCGGAAACAATTTTTAGTTGTTTAGATAACTTAAATAATAATTTTTTATTGCATTATTACATATTCTTATAAGAAAATAGTAGAATTATTTTATTGTGAAGTCGGAAAAATGCCACCCAAAAAACGATCAAAAAATTCTGATCAACAATATGATATTGAAACCGAAGAAAATGACGAGAATTTTGATCTCATTATGATTCCCAGTTTAGACGATTCTCAAGATTCTGAGTCTGATTCAAATTCAGAAAATGAAAATGATCACATTGATGTATGCTCATTCCTTGAAAATCTTATACCTACTACTTTATACAATCAAGTTCTTGATAGCTACTCGGAAAATCAAAAGAAGTTAGAACCAAACCATGTTTATGAGTGGTTGGATGGCGAAAAAGTTTATGGGGAAAAGTTAATAAGTGAAGTTTTTCTTTCAGAATCTGATCGTAAAAAGATCCTCGATTATTCTCTGACTGATTCGTTTGAATTATTTTTTTCTGATGAATTAAAGGCATTTATAGTAGAAGCAACAGTATGCAATGGTGGTGATCTTACTCTACAAGACTTGAACACATTTTTAGGAATTATTATTTTATCGATCTTTAATTCAAGAAAAAGTCAGAGAGATTACTGGTCAAATAATCCTTTTCTAGTCTGCGAATTAGTAAAATTAGCCATGAGTCATCAAAAATTTGAAAAAATAAAATCAGAAATAAAGCTATCAAAAAATGAAGATAAAAATGCAAATGATAGAGCTTGGCGTATACGTGTTCCTTTAGATATTTTTCGAAAAAACTGCCAACAATTTGCGATTTTTTCCACAGCTTTATCACTTGATGAATGTATGATCAAATTTTATGGTAGGACAGTCTTGAAGCAGTTTATGAAAGGTAAACCTGTACTTTTTGGTTTGAAACTGTGGGCTATTTGCAATAAAGAAGGATTTATTTTTGATTTTGATATATATTGTGGGAAAGAATCAAACCATCTCCCTTCGAAGCAGTTAGAGAATTTAAGAAATTGTGCTTTGGGTAGCCGCGTTGTTCTACAAATGCTCCAGAGGCTCCTAACAACTGTGTCACCAAGAAAGATCAGTCGTTATCACATTTATTTCGATAACTTTTTCAATTCACCAGATCTTTTCGTTCATCTACATAAAATTGGTCTTCGAGCTACAGGTACTGTGAGAGCAAATAGAGTAAGCTGAGTCACTATTGATCTTAATAATAAATCAAAGAGAGGAACATATTTTGTGAAACATGACAAAAATAGTGGTGTCAACTACATATCAGTCATGGACTCTAAAATTGTCTCATTGCTCTCGACGGCTGCTGGCATTACTCCATTGTCTTCAGCAAAACGATATTCGAAAGATGAACATGGTAAAGTTGAAATACCTTGTCCTTATGCTTTCAATTTGTACAACAATTTTATGGGTGGAGTAGACCAACATGATTATTACTGTAGCAGTCTGTTGCCGTGTATTAGGTCGAAAAAGTGGACTTGGGTAGTTTTAATGAGAATTATTCAAGGATCAATTACAAATGTCGCCGTACTCAAGAATTTGGTGTGTGGTAAAAAAGTTGTAACCATAAAAGACATTGCACTAGCTGTAGCATCAAAATACTTGAATGAAACCAATAATCGACAATCTCACATACACGAAAAAGTCATTGCAAAAAAGAAATGTTTCAACTTCACAAAATGTTCTAAAAGAACACAACAATTTTGCGTTGATTGCCAAAAATATTTTTGTTCTACATGTTTCCTTGATTTTCATAAATAATTTTATAAGTTTTAATTAAATCTAGTTATCAGATTTTATCCAAAACATTTAAGTATAAAAAAAATTTGAATAAGGCGAGAAACAAAAAAAAATAAAAAAAAAAGTAAAAAAACAAGGCAAAAAACAAAAAAAAAGAAAATGTCTCTTTCTATTGTCGACCTCCCCGTGGTAAGAGATGGACAACGGTGATGTACCATCGCCGGCTAACAGGCATAACAATTAGAGAACCGAAAATCCCGTTGGTTCGGCCTTTTTATTTATTTGTTGCTCATTATTTTGAATATACAAATAAGTTTTTTTACAATTTCACACATTTTTTCTTCAAAACTATGCAGTTTAACTAAAAATTTATTAGAACAAAAATATCTTAGAATTAATCAGGGAATGCTCTTGAATTTTTTCAAAATGTTTTTTCAACTTTTTTGAAATTTCATTTTTTTTGAATTTTTCAAAAATCAAAAATTGTTTGAAAACGTTTTGAAAAAATTTAAGAGTATTTCTTAGCCGATTTTAAGATATTTTTATTCTAATAAATTTTTTGCTAACACCTATACTTTCTGAGAAAAAAATTTATCAAGTTTAGAACAAAATTTTTTTATTTCGGCCGCCATTTTGCTTAGATGAAAAATTATTCAAATAAATGTCATCATCCTAACATTTAGTTCAGATATCGAGGACACCTTTCTAACCGGTTTTAGACCGATACAAAAATGTATAGGCTCCAGAAATCAGTTTAAAAAAAAATCACGTTTTTTTTTTTAATTTTTATTTTTTAGAGGTTAGAAATCTTTTTTTCGACTTCTGATCATCACCATTCGAAAGAGCACCCTCGAAAACATAGGGTACGGTTAGTTTTAAGTTATTTGAGTTCGAATTCATTACGAGGTAACAATTCAAACTCAAACTTAAAAAATGTGTCCTGTGGACGTTAACGGGTTAATATTTTAAGCCTGGGAACCTAAAATCCTATAATCCCTGATTTCAACAACTTATCTCTAGAGCCAGAAATCTTACTTCTTTATAACCTCGAACCTCAAAAACTTACTATTCTTGTACCCTATATACTTATATTTCGCTTTTTCAATCTCTGTGCTGGGAACTCTGCTACATATCTTATAACTCTCAAGTTAATAAAAATAAATTTCCTTAATCCTCTAAACCGGACACCTACACTTTTATAACTTTATACTTATGTATCATAATTTTCTTAATATTTGAGTCTAAATTGTAACGGGGATTTAGTCCGCTACAATATTTAATAACCGAGAGATGCGTAATAGATGACGAAACGGGCTCGCGCAACGGATTTGCACGACCGACCCAGTAGCGCAGACTGCCGATGGATCCGCCGGGTGGCAACGGCCCGCGGAGAGCGTCGTAGGTCGCGTAGCTGAAATCGCGAAGGTGTAGGAAACGAGAGGAATGATAGAAGGCGCAGAGTGAAAGAGGCGA